AACTGTGACACCCTTACTACCCCAACACATATACTGTAACTTTACAAATAAATGTTTAAAATTCGGTAAAAAGGGTTCACATGAGAAAATTCAAAAATCGTTCTTCAATAACCACAATATTAAAGATTTAGAAAATGAAACACAAAAGTTTACAAATTATTTATAAAATGATATTTACAATTCCAAATCCATATAAAAATTTTGTACTAAAATTTCTCTCTTCTCTCCTTTATTGCCATTGTTCCTAACACTAATCATATCTTTTAATAGTACCATATCATTTTCTTATTTTATCAAATAAAAATAAAATAAAATAATTTAAAAGATATGATTGGTTGTCAGTGTAAAAAACTTTACACTAACAATGTATGGATGATTAACTCTATATATATATATAGTTAATCATCCATACACCGACAATATAAAGTTTTTTACACCGACAACTAATTATATCTTTTAATCATGTCATATTTGAAGTTTCAACTCGCCGCTATATTTTCCATCAAAACACACAAAGAACCTTCCATTCATCCACCACTCACTCTATCCAAACAAACCCTAATAGAACCATGCGTTCCAATTCCTCCAACACCATCATCTCCTTTTGCATTCTCATCACCTTCACAACAACCATACAAGCACAGCTCGCCGACCCCGTTTTCGTTAAACAAGTCTGCAGTCCAAACCAAACCACCACCACCAACACCGCCACCTACGAAAACAACCTCAGAACCCTCCTCTCCCTCTTGTCTTCCAACGCCACCGCCACCAAATTCCACACCACCACAGTCCTCGGCACAACCTCCTCGGACACCTTGTACGGTCTCTTCATGTGCAGGCTCGACGTACCCTCCCACTTCTGCTTCCGCTGCGTGAGTAACGCCACAACGAATATATCCTCAGACCCAGAATGTTCCCTGTCCAAACAGGGCGTTACCTGGTACGCCGAGTGCATGGTTCGGTTTTCCAACGTGGCGTTCTTCTCCACCGTGGACACTTCTCCCTCGTGGGCCTTGAGCAACCACGTGAATGCCTCCTCCAACTCGACGCTGTTCATGGGGTTGTTGTTCGACGCCATGAACCGAACAGCGGAAGAAGCGGCGAATTCAGGTAACAGGTTCTCCACGAAGGAAACGAACTTGTCGCTTTCGAAGACCCTTTACTGTCTAGCGTAGTGCACGCAAGATTTGTCGCCAGGAAACTGCTCAACGTGTCTTGGTGAAGCCATTGGGTACCTTCCGTCGTGCTGCGAGGGAAAGGAAGGAGGCAGAGTTGGGTATCCCAGTTGTACCGTTTGGTATGAACTCTACCCTTTCTATGGCCTCGCCACCAATCAGACACCAACCAAAACTTCTCCATCATCAGGTTTTTTTATTACTAGTTGTACTTACTGAAAATCTGTCGTAGAGGTGATCTCTCGAGCAAGGTCGGTGAGTCTCCTTTGCTGTACGTTGGTGCTCCAAGATGGGGGTGGTACCTGCAAAAGAGACTCCGATGTTAAAGTTAGAGTTTGTATGATTATTAGTCTCGTATAAATAATGCACGTACCTTAGTGTGAATTAGGGTTGTTTTGGGCCCTGGGTCTGAGATTAGATGAGATATGATTAGATAATATATCTTATCTGGGTGAGATTATCTGAGATCAGTTATGATCTACTTAAATGTCGAGCTGACATCATATAGTGCGTGCCCGAGGTCTTTTTGGGCTGTGATGCCGAGCTCGGAGCTCGACTTTGCGGTACGGATAGTACACTAGCCCCCCGAGCTCTGAAGACCGTAGGTCGAGGAGTTAAGTCTGAGCTTGTCAAGTGGCCGTGACCTTTCGCGTATGCTTGCTTGTCGGGGTGCTACATGTCACCCCTGTTGCCTTGTTTTTGGAAACGTGCAGGTGATGTGGTGACAAGATTACATTTTTATTTGTTCGATGACATGGCCTCTTTGGGCCGATGTGGTGTTCCGATATCCATGTTTCATGGTCGAACCTTGAGCTCGGCAATAATGAGCCTACTGCTTGGTTAGGTTGGTAAACCTTTGACCGGGTCAGCAGTTCGGTGAGGGACAAGTCGGCAACTCGGCTGGCCAGTACACTTTGCCCCCCCAAGCATCGAGTAATGTAAGAGCAAGGGGGCTCCTGAGGAGTTTCCCAAATTTGTTGTTTGGAGGTTCAAATTCGACATAGTTAAGTAGATGTGATCTCAAGGTTCGGACTCGACCTTGGCCTATCAAGGTTTGAACTCGACCTTGGTTAGTCGTCACGGTTAATGTGCGAATACCGAAATTGTATGGGAATGGATATCCTTCGTTGATTATTTCTGAGGTGTGCCTCGTTTAAACTTTCCTTGGCCAAAGACAAAAGGGCTGTGGAGGAAAAGAGTACATCACCTGAATTTACAAGTTAAGAGAAATGTCTTTTGAGGTGGGTGACATTTCAAGTTCTGGATTCCCCTTCAGAGGGGTTAAGACCGAGCTCGGAGCTCGGTTTCATAATACGGATTGTACACTAGCCCCCCGAGCTCCGGAGACCGTAGGTCGAGGAGTTGAGATCGAGTTCGTTGTAGGGAGATGGCTTTTTGTAGATGCCGGCCTGTCAAGATGCCACGTGTCATAATTGTAATTTCTCATTTCGGTAACCGATGCCGGCGTGTTAATGGGTGTGACAGTTATGCAATGATGGCTTCTTTTGTCATAATGGGTCTTATTAAATGCGTGGTCAGGTGTGTCTTCTGGTTGACACGTGTTGTGGCCGTTTGAATTTTGGGAGACCCTCTCTTTCCTACCCGCGCCTTTCTCCCTTTCACTTTACTCATTTTTGCTTTTTCAACTTCTTGCGTACGCTGCTTCTCTTGTTTTCGACCGTCCTCTATTTTCGTTTCAGTCGTCGTTTCCGGTAACCATTTCGTTGTTAGGGTTCTTTTTTGAGGAGGAGTACCAGGTACTTCTTTTCTACTGTTTTCTCCTTTCTTTGTCTTTTTCGAGTCTTTCTTGTCTCTTCTTTTCTATGGCTGGGGGGAGTGGTGCTGGGTCTTCTACGTCTGCCCGAGGCAGGGGTAGGGGGCGTGGTAAGGCGGCGGTTGCTGGGAAGGCTGCCGCCGAGAAGAGTGATCCACCCAAGGATCTGGTGCCAGGGGTTCCTGGCTACGACTGGGTTAAACGCGATGTGGCTGGAGTCCAAAGCGTGTTCCGATCGCTCGCAGAGGTCGATGCGATTTGGGAATCACAACGGATTTGTGACCCCTCCATTTCTCGAATGATCCGGCTTGAACCCTGTCAGGCCGGTGAGGGTGTGTATATGGGGGGGGTCTACTGACCGTCCCCATTTCTATATGTACTGGTGTTTCTTTAGGGACCTAGGTGTCCGCCTTCCCTTCACTCAGTTTGAGTGTGATTTTTTGGAATTCATTAACTCGGCTCCTTGCCAGTTGCACCCTGACAGTTGGGGTTTTTTGCGGGTTTTTCAAGTCCTTTGTACAGTTCTAGGGATAGAGGTGTCTCTTCCCATTTTTTTACATTTTTATCAACTGAAGGTAGGCGTTCCGCCCTACGACATTTTGTCTTTGAATGGGAGTAGGGATGGTGGCTTGTTCACTCTCTACTCCCAGTCGTACAAAAATTTTAAACAGGAGTTCTTCCGGGTTGCCCTTGTGGATGTTGACCCGGTGAAGGATGGGGCATTCTACTTCGGCGAATTGCCGAAGTTCCCCTTTTATTGGTGCCCCGAGCCGTCTAGGTTTCACGGGGAGGGCCAATTGCTTTTGACGGTTGCAGAGTTGGCCGCCATCGGAGATCTTGAGGCGCTTCCTCGGCCGCTCGATTGCAAGCTCATCTTGTCGCTCGAGAACTCGGCGCACAGGGAGAGAGGCCTGGAGCGTGAGTATTCTATGTTTTGGCGGTTTGTTAAGGTTTGAGTTTAGGGTTTCTTGGCTAATGTGGGTTGTATTCTGTTTTGTAGGCATTATGGGGAAGAACTTGTGGAAGAAGCTTAAGCACCGCTACAATGTCGCTGAGCTCGAGGTTCCCGAGCCTCAGGAAAAGGGTGTCCCCCCCCCCCGGAGGCCAGCCGGAAAAGAAAGAGGGGGAGGAAGGAGGCTGGGGGAACCTCCGCTCGTCCAGATGCCGAGGAGGTGGCCTATAAGGCTGCTGATGCTGACGCGGTGGATCTCACCGAGAGTCCGCCGTCCCAGGAGGCTACGGAGGAGATAGCTCGGGCTGCTGAGCCTGCTGCTCAGGCTGCCAAGGTGGCGACTCCGACTGCTGAACAGGTTGCCCCTTCTGCCGAGGTAAGTATCTTATCTCCTTGTCCCTTTCTTCTGAGTGGGCTTTCTACGAGTTTTTGAGGCGATGTTGTTTTTTACAGGCTGGGATAGCTACCGAGGTAGGAGCTCGGGTTGCTGAGCGTGTCGCTCAGGTAGCCGTGGTGAGTATTTCTCTTTTGAGTTTTTCTATCCTGCCGATGTGTTGTTGTTTTGTCTTTTGACATGGGGTCATTTTTGCAGGAGGGGGGGTGCTACTGAGACCTCGGTTTCCCCGAGGCCAGAGGTTCCTGAAGTGGATTCTCCTGTTGCTGAGGCTCGTGGCGAGGGGCTGGGCTCGAAGATCCCGACGACCATGCCCACTATGTCTGTTCCCTCTCCTGGTTCGTCCCAGGGGGCTTCCCGAAGTCGGTATCTTGCTCACCGCTTCGGGAAGGATCGCTCCGACGTGAGGTTGGACCATGTTAGCGCCTCTGCTGACATGGACTCATTATGGAGTGCGGGGGTGACCGCCGAGAAGTTCTTCCCTAGCGGCTCGCTGAGCGCTGGGGACCAAGAATTGATAGAGGGGGTTGGGCCTGTGGAAAGCGTTGAGGCTGCTCAGGTCCTTCTGTAGAGGGCTACGACTATTATGGGCCACAGGAAGCATAGGTGGTCCAAGCAGCAGGAGGAGTTGGTCAAGCTGAGAAGCCGGGCTCAGCCCTAGAAGGAGGCAAATAAGATCCTGAGGGCGAAGAATAAAGTGCTGAACGCTGCCTTGAGCGAGGCGAAGGCGCAAGGGGCCGAACTTCGTTCTGTGAGGACTGACCTTGCAAGGGTGCAGAAATCTCTTGAGATCGCATTACGATCCAACGAGGCTTATGCTTCCCAGGTGGGGGAGCTGTAGGAGCTCGTCGCCTTCTCTCGTGGTCGCGCCCGCTCTTTGGAGGATAAGGTGACGTCTTCCTGTGTTCAAGTGCGGGCGTTGGAAGATGTTGTGACTTCTCTTAAAGGAGAGCTGGCGGAGGCCATTCTTGGCGGCCGGGAGGACGAGATTGCCTCTTTGAGAGCGGAGCTCGCGGAGCTGGAGGTGGGGAAGGCGGCTGTGGAAAAGAGACTGGCGGAGGTCGAGCATTCTGTTGTGGTGGAGCATAAGAGGGGCTTCCTTAAGGCTGCTCGCCAGGCCAGGTTCCTTGCGCCTGGATTCGACTTCTCCGCCATGCATGTGGAGAACGTAATCCGCTTTTGGAAGCTGGTCAAGGAGGATGACGCCGATGACAGCTCTAGTGAGAATGCCTCTGCGTAGGCCATTTTTTTTTTGTAATAATTTAGTTTTTCTTTGCTTTTTTTTTCGTCTTGCCTTTTGAATTCAAGTGTTGAACTCCGTAATTGTGTGTATATATTGCTTTCTTGAGATTTATTCTTATTTTGACTGTCTTTCTTTGGGCTCAAACTTGGCCTGTCATGAATGTGTTGTCTTTATGTTGGCGCTTTTAGCGTGTGTTGTGCCGAGGTTCGTACTTGACTTCGTTTTTTAGAGTGGAGCAAAGTGAATTACATCAAGGTTCGTACTCGACCTCGCATAGAAGCATTGAGGTTCGTACTCGACTAGGGATGGCAAATAAACCCGTACCCGTGGGTAATACCCGAACCCGTCCCGACTTTGACGGGGAATACCCGGTTTGACCGGGTACAGGGACGGGTACGGGTAAAACCCGATAAATTAAACCGGGTACGGGTACGGGTACGGGTATGACACCATAACCGTACCCATACCCGTACCCGATTTAATTATATTAAAAAATATTAACATTTTATTATATGTAATTATTTATTATAATGTGAAATATTTATAGTTGTATAATTATTAAGAAATATCTTGATTAAAATATGAGATAAAGAAATAATCTAATTATAATTATAATATAATAGAAAAATAATTTAAAAATATTATATATATTTTTTTTGCAAAAAAAAAATAATTTTTTACGGGTACGGGTACGGGTACGGGTATACCCGATACCCGACGGGGACGGAGATGGGGATAAAAATCACATACCCGGCGGGTACGGGTACGGGTACGAGGATGGGTTTATGTCGCGAGGACGGGGACGGGTATCATAAAACCCGTACCCGACCCGCCCCGTTGCCATCCCTATACTCGACCTCGCATAGAAGCATTGAGGCTCGTACTCGACCTCTGAAACGGGTGACCTCAAGGGTCGATTTCGATGTTGGATAAAAGCATTGAGGTTCGTGGTTGACCTCGGTTTTTTGTTAGGTGGATTTTTGTCATGAAAAGTCGACCTTGGGCTAATAGCGTCGAGGTTTGAATTCGTCCTTAAATTGGGGTAGAGCGACTTGTATGAAGGTTCGAGTTCTACCTCGTATTTTTGTTAAGTAGTGCGTTATAAAGGTTCGAACTCGACCTTAGATTCTTGTTAAATAATTTTGTGTTCTTAGTATTGTTGAACAACTTTGTGTGGGGGTTCGAACTTGACCCAAATCATACCGAGGTTCAGACTCAGCTTTCGATGGATACTCGAGGTTCAAAACTCGACCTTGGATGGGCGTATTGGGGTTCGGACTCGACCTTACTTTTGAGCAAAGGGAATTACATCAAGGTTCAATCTTGACCTCGGATAGAAGCATTGAGGTTCGTACTTGACCTCGCATAGAGGCATTGAGGTTCGTACTCGACCTCGCTTTTGGGTAGAGCGGATTTACATCAAGGTTCGAACTCGACCTTGGATATAGAAGCATTGAGGTTCGGACTCGACCTCGCATAGAAGCATTGAGGTTCGTACTCGACCTCACTTTTGGGCAAAGCGAATTTACATCGAGGTTCAAACTCGACCTTGGATAGAAGTATTGAGGTTCAGACTCGACCTCGCATAGAAGCATTGAGGTTCGTACTCGATCTCACTTTTGGGCAGAGCAAATTTACATCGAGGTTCAAACTCGACCTTGGATAGAAGCATTGAGGTTCGGACTTGACCTTACTTTTGAGCAAAGCGAATTACATCAAGGTTCAATCTTGACCTCGGATAGAAGCATTGAGGTTCGTACTCGACCTCGCATAGAGGCATTGAGGTTCGTACTCGACCTCGCTTTTGGGCAGAGCGGATTTACATCAAGGTTCGAACTCGACCTTGGATAGAAGCATTGAAGTTCGGACTCGACCTCGCATAGAAGCATTGAGGTTCGTACTCGACCTCGCTTTTGGGCAGAGCGGATTTACATCAAGGTTCGAACTCGACCTTGGATAGAAGCATTGAGGTTCGGACTCGACCTTACTTTTGAGCAAAGCGAATTACATCAAGGTTCAATCTTGACCTCGGATAGAAGCATTGAGGTTCGTACTCGACCTCGCTTTTGGGCAGAGCGAATTTACATCGAGGTTCGAACTCGACCTTGGATAGAAGCATTGAGGTTCGTACTCGACCTCACATAGAAGCCTGGGCAAAAGGATTTAGTTAAGGTTCGAACTCGACCTTAGGCGGGGGTATCAAGGTTCGTATTCGACCTGGTATGGCGAGGTTCAGATTTGACCTCGAGTTTGAGCGAACCGATCTGACCTTTAACGAAAATGTCGAGGTTCGTATTCGGCCTCGGAATTTGCATTCGCGCGTTTAAGGTTCGTTTTCGTTCATTACGTAAGCAGAAGAATAAGAATATAAATTGAGTAAAATGGGTGATTTCATTTATTATGTCTGTGTGCCTCGTTAAAAACCCTCTCAGTCAAAGACTGAGGCGGGAAAAGAGTGCACAACTTTGTTCATATGGACAAAGAGAAATGGAACTTAAGGAGCTATGGTGGGGGAATCCCTCTTGCTCTGCTTGCTGGACAAGGAGATCTTCAGGCTCTCGGCGTAACATTGCCGAGCTGTCTTCTGATTTGCTTTGACGGTGATAATTTTACCGTCCTTCCCTGGGAACTTCATGGTGAGGTGTGGAGTGGATACTACCGCTCCGAGCTGATTCAAGGTTGGCCTCCCGATAATGATGTTATAGGAGGTGTTGGCCTCCACGAGGAGGTACTGGACCATGATTCTCCTTATCTGGAGGTACTCCGAAAGTTGTCAATAGGTCTATGTACCCGCGAGTGTGAACTCGTTCTCCTGCGAAACCGACTAGGGGTTCCGTGTGAGGTTGCATAAGAGATTGGGGGACGTCTAGCTTGAGGAATGTTGGCCAATATAAGACGTCAGCCAAACTTCCTTGGTCAATAAGCGTCTTCTGAACCTCCCAGTTGGCTATTTCCACGACGATGACCATGGGATCGTCTTGATTTGGGCTGACACCAGCGTAGTCGTCGTCGGAGAAAGAGATCGGCGGAGAGCTCTGGTGCGAGGCTGAGGTGGTAGAGTGGACACAGTTGATGTTCCGCAGGTGTCTCTTTCGGGTAGAGCTGCTGGTGCCTCCTCCGGCGAAGCCTCCTGCGATTGTGTTGATTATTCCCCGTAAGGGAGCTGATCCTGTCTCGTGGTTTATCTCGGCCTGTACTGCTCCGCTGGCGTTTTGCTGGGAGCCTGAGGGTTGGTCTGTGCGAGCTCCCGAGCCACATCCTCTGCCTCGTCCTCGTCCACCATAGCCTCCTCGGTGGCCCTGCTGTCGTTGGACATATTGGCCAAGGTGACCTGCTTGGATGAGTTCCTCAATACGGTCTCGGAGCGTGCGGCACTCCTCGGTGGTGTCTCCATGGTTCCTGTGGTACCGGCAGTGTTTGGACTTGTTGGCACTGGTGGGAGTGTGACCTGGCGGTGGCAGGGCGAGCAGGTTGTTGTTGCTGGCTTCCTCGAGGATGTGTACTCGAGGTGCGTTTAGGGGAGTATAGAAGTCGTACCTTCCCCCTTTATTTTCTCTGGTCGATTTCTTGAATTGGCTGTCATTATTGACTTTAATTTTATCTCTGTGACCTTGTTCTGTCTTTGCTGGTCCTTTTCCACGGACTTGATCACGGAAAGCGGAGTGTTCCTCCATCTGGATGTAACCTGCAGCACGGGCGCGGAGCTCGTCCATGTCGCAGGGAGATTCCTGACATAAGCTATCGACGAAGGGCCCAGGCTTGAGTGCCATGAGCATGGCGTGCAGGGCGACCTCAAGATTCAGATTCCTGATTTTGATAGAGGTGGCGGCGAATCGTTCTATGAACGCTCGGAGTGGTTCGTCGTCGCTTTGCCTGAGACTGGCTAGGGCGGCTGAAGTGACATGATGAGGTCGGCTTGTCGCGTATTGTGCTATGAACCTTATGACTAGGGTATCAAAATTGTCGATGGATTCGGCAGGTAGCTGGGTATACCAGTTGAGTGCGGCCCCTTTGAGCGAGGTCGAAAAGACTCTACACAGAATAACATCATTGTTAGTGTAGAGGTTTACCTGTGTTGTGTACAGGTCGACGTGCTCGTTCGGGTCCGTCGTGCCATCATAGCGGTCGAGGTGGAGAGGCTTCCACCCGTGAGGGAGGGGTGTCTCCATGATGCCGTCCACAAAAGGGTGGCGGCGGAAGGTTGCCTGCCCTCCCGCAACATGAGTAGGAGCCCTGCTGACCTCATGGGCTGACTTATGCGTTGGTGCGTGAGATGGATGCGTGGCGGGCCGTGGGGTTGGTACCCTAGTCGCGGCCCGAGGTTGGGAGACGGAATGCTCATCCTCCTCGTTGTGGTTGCTCACGTGAGGGGGGATCCTGGTGGTGCCGAGGGAGCTGAGCGCGAATGCGCTCGTTTTCGGCTCTTAGTGCTGCTAGGTCAGCTTCATTAGCAGCCTACATTGCTGCTAGGTCAGTTTCGTGCTTTGCACGCATGCTTTGCAGATCGGCCTCGTGCTGCTACCGCATTTGTTCGACCTGGTCGATCAGTCTCCTCAACGCTGCTTCGTTATCCATGCTGGGTGGATGGTTTGCGTCGGCCGTTGCGCGTCTGCTATGGCTTCTGGTGCTAACCATAAGCGTGGCCGATGAGAGCTGTCTCGATCGGCCCCATGGTGGGCGCCAAATGTACTTACTGGAAATCTATCGTAGAGGTGATCTCTCGAGTAAGGTCGGTGAGCCTTCTTTGCTGGTACGTTGGTGCTCCAAGATGGGGGTGGTACCTGCAAAAGAGACTCCGATGCTAAAGTTAGAGTTTGTATGATTATTAGTCTCGTATAAGTAATGCACGTACCTTAATGTGAATTAGGGTTATTTTGGACCCTAGGCCTAAGATTAGATGATATATGATTAGATAATATATCTTATCTGGGGCGAGATTCTCCAAGATCAGTTATGATCTACTTAAATGTCGAGCTGACGTCATATAGTGCGTGCCTGAGGTCTTTTTGTGCTGTGATGCCGAGCTCGGAGCTCGGCTTTGCGGTACGGATAGTACACTAGTCATTTTTTAAGATGTGTAGTTTTTCTTTTTACTATGGTAATACTTCATTAAAATTATTCCTCTTAAATCATCTTTTTATTAAATAAAAACTCAGTCTCTAAACTTTGAGACTTGAAGATTAATCACAGTTGTACTAAAGAAAGTTAGTGAAATTTGCATATTAAAGAATACTACCGATATATTTTCTAATAAATTACGGTTAACACACTTATTTTACAGGATAAAATCATTAAAAAATGTTAAAAAGTATATATGTTGTTATTATTTTGTAAATATTTATTATATATAACTAAAATTTATAATAAATTATATCTATAAATAAGAATTATATTTTAATATATAAATTATATTTTTATATACTAGTGAAATTGAGACACTCTTTGTCTTAATATATTATTTAATAAAGGTGTTTAAAAATTATCAATATTTTGTTAAACCATTTTTTATAAAAGTAATTAATTTTCAATTATTTTTTATTATTTAAAATTTAATGATAAAATCTTCTAAAAAAATGTGAAAACAAAAAAAATGGTTATAATTTCCTCTAAAAAAAATGATTATAATCTCATATTCCCTTTATATATAATTAGTAGGATCAAGACATTTTATACCTCTATATTTTATTTAATAAAAATATTTAAAAATTATCTTAGATTTATTTGTATTGTGTTTGGTCTTCAACCTTAAAATCTTAGGTTTGAGTCTTGTATTTGTAAGGTAGATTTAAGATAAATAATTTATATTTTGGGGCACAGATATTTTTAATTATTGCTAATTTATTTTAAAGTATTAAAATTTAATTTATAAACAAATATGATAAAAAAATATACTTATATAATAAGTTAAAATAATTCTTAAAAGTGTTCTCATTATTCTTAAAATTGTTTTCATGCAAGATAATTTTTTTTACGTTTAATATATAGAGGTTGATATAAAGTATCTGTAATTTATTTTTTAAAAATTATTAGAATTTAATTTAAAAATAAATAAATATGATAGAACAAAAGAAATAATAACATATGAAGAAAAAATTTAAAACTTTTTCTTTAAAAAAATAATCTAGTTAAAATGTACTCTTCAAGAAATAACTCTTAAAAACACTCTATTTTAATATAATTATTTTAATTTTATATAAATGGTATTATTTATTATATAAAATAAATAAATAATGTATTATTCTCGTAGTTATTAATTAATTTTGTAAGTATCTTAAAATTTCAATTTAAAAGTCATATTCAAACTAAGATTTAGTAAGACTACAGTAATTTGAAAGTTAGTTTTAACATGAAATTTAAAGTTTAATTTTATTTTAGGTTACATTGAATTAGTACATTCAATTTAAAAGATATATGCTAAAGGCATTTTAATTTTCTAATATTATAGGTATTTATGAAATAAATAAATACGTTGTTTGTTTAGGAAATTTGGATTTACAAAAATATTTCTATATTTTGGTGGGAGCATTTTATTTTATGTGTTATATATATATATATATATATATATATATATATATATATATATATATATGTATGTAAAGAGAGGAGTGATTCATTTACTCCACGAGTAAGTCTACCTTTATCGAATAACTTTTGTTTTATATCAAATTTCAATGATCCAACCATTGAATTTAAAATTTTTAAGACATAAGTCAAATTTACAAATTTATAACAAATTTAAAAATTATTTAATATTTTATTTCATTAATTCAAATCAATATATAAAATAATTTTATAATTATTTATCAATTTGAAAATTTATAACAAAATTTTCAACATATCTTTCATATATCTTAAATCTACGATTAAGGACTAAAATATACTGGATATCAAATAACTTAATTTATATTATGATGGATGGTTCTAACTTGACATATAGTATATCCCTCAGTCGATGGAGTAATTGGAAAGCATTGGTGGTCCGTTTCATGCTATGTAGCATAGTAGCAACATTGAATCCATCTTCTCATTTCGTTAATTATCCAAAACTATAGCCGTCAAATATTTCGTAATGGGCCGGGCTACAACATTAATGTTTGACCTTCGTTCACCATAAGTGTTAGGTAGATGATAAACACACCTCCACTCTCGTATAAACACACTTCCTTTTAAAAAAAATATATAAAATATTTAAATTACCCTTAAAAAAAATGAAATTCCTAAATTTACACCCCTTTCCCCGCACCCCACACCTCCCTTTCCCGCACCCCACACCCCACACCTCCCTTCTTCCTAAAGTGACAAACATTGTAGTCCGCAATTGCACCCCCAGTTTCTCTACAGTACCCAGTCTCTAACAGAAAAAGTTAATTTGGATGACACTGTTTGTTTTCTAACGTGGTACACAAAATATCCAGCCTAACAAAAACAATGTGGATGGGGATGATCGTCAATAATCACGCAAGGAAGAAAACAACCATTGTTTCGCTCAAATCAAAATCAAAACAAATAGTGTTCATCGACAACCCCAGGGTGAACACTATTTCTGTGCAATGTGTGTGCCAGCAGCCACGCTCGCTGCAATTGGGGCGGGCCTCGTGCTTCTGGGCAACAATAGAGACCTGGGCACTGTAGAGAAACTGGGGGTGCAATTGCGGACTACAATGTTTGTCACTTTAGGAAGAAGGGGGGCGTGGGGTGTAGGGGTGCGGGGTAGGGGGGTGTGGGGTGCGGATGGGGATGTAAATTTAAGAATTTCATTTTTTTAAGGGTAATTTAAATATTTTATATATTTTTTTTTTAAAAAAGGGGTGTGATTATACAAGAGTGGAGGTGTGTTTATCATATGCCTAAGTGTTAACATATTTTATTGCCGGCTTTTGGATGTTAGTGCTACATTTTGGCGTATCTGCGTTATGTAGACTTTGTGCCACAAAATTATCATTTATTTAAAAAAATATTTAGGTTTTATTTTGGCTACATATTTCGTTTAATTAGCTTCTTTTTTTCTTCAATTCAATATGATCTTATTATATATTCATTTGATGTAGGAAATGGTTCGTCACGAACTGTTATCTTGATTGTTACCTTCAGCATTATTGTAGCAGGGATTCTTTTCACCTTTGGTTGTTATTTGATACGAAAGAAAGTTAGAAAGAATAATAAAACTATTCTCCAAAAAAATTGTAAGTATGTTAAAAGTAAAAAAGAGAGAGGCAATTAATTTTAATACTAAATTTCCAATTAAAATATACATAAAGAAATTTACAAAGTTGGTTTAATGATTCAAGTATTTTTGTTTAGTTGGACATGAATGTTCCGCTATAGAGTCATTGCAATTTAATTTGGCAATAATTGAAGTAGCAACTAACAACTTTTCAAACGAGAACAAGATTGACAAAGGTGGATTTGGTTACCAAATTCCCTCATGTAACTTTGCATACAAATAATCTCCTTTTTCCCGTACCTGGATAGCAGTTGAACTAAAACAGGGATCTCTTGGTCTCCTCCTCTAAGTGCCCCTTGGTCTTCAGAGAGAAGAAGAGGTAAGGAAGTGCATCTAGGGTTCATTTGCATTTCATTTGGAATGCATTTGCCTACTCCAAATGCAACCCTAGATGCCTCCCCTCCTATAAATACCCAACACCCCACACCTTGTAAATACTTTGGAATATATGAATTTGAGTGAGCATTTTTGCCTCAAATTCTCTCCTTAGTCACTAGGTCAATTCGGCCTACCTCTCTTATCTCCTCCTTAGAGTGAGTTTAGGGATACCTTGAATGGCCTTCACCTCCACTTAGTGAAGAGAGCCAACTAGAACACCCAAGACACCATCTTCCCAACCTTTCTCCTATTCGCCCAAGACTCCACCTTTCACGCCCACCATCACTTAGCCTCACCCTTGAAGGAATGTCCACCCTCTAAGGTCACCATCTTGGCCTTGGCAAGGAGCTCCTCTTCACCATTGACGTTTGTTCATCCCCTTGGTGGAAGGAGTCCATCACCGCCTATAGCATCTCTTGCCCAAGGTCGTGCCACCCCCGACATAAGTATTAATTATCTCACACATCCCACCTTATGCCAAGGGTACACTCGTCCCATAAATATCACCTACCCAGGGTTCGTATCATCCATGATCATCCAGGGGTACGCTCGTCCCTGAAGCATCACCTACCCAGGGTTCGTATCATCCCTGATCATCTAGGAGTACGCTCGTCCCTGAAGCATCACCTACCCAGAGTTCGTAT